ACCTGTAGCACAAAAAATCTTAAAAGACTAAGGCCCAGGCTGTATTGAGGCAACTACCTAGCTCTAGCTGACGTTTTCTGGAGGTTTTTCGTCTTATGAAACATGATCGTGGAGCCTTGACGGCACACGAAAACCCATGCTTGGTGGATGTCTACAAATTCGGCGAGACAGGGCAGAGCAATCCAAAACCCTAGACTGAAGCCTCAGGAGACAGGGAGTTTTCGCTAAGGATTTCGACCGGCACATGCTCAACAACCCCTAAACCCTAAACCATTATGCCCTTTTTGCATCAGGACTTGTGCAATCGCCTGAATCCTTAAACCCCTAAACCCTAGACCCCTTAGGCCCTAAACCCCTTAGTCAGGCCTAGCATGCCCGAGTTCGAAGCCATGTTGATATGGGCTCAGGGCCGTAATCGTCGCAATCTCAACATGACCCAGATTCATCCTAAGTCTGGGACTGGTTGAAACTGCTTAGCACAACGGTGCGTCAAGGTCTCAGGTGCACTCACTCCTATGTGTTCAGGCTGTGGAGCATGCGGATTGAGAGCCTGAAGCTTGTCGGCTTGTGGTCAGAAAGGTTGCTCCATATTCTGAGACCCGAATATCGATGCCAGGACCATGAGGCAATGAGGAAGATGTAGTGGAACGTGTCACATCGCCACAGCAGCTTAAAGTGCTCCAAATGACCACCAAGCCTAAATTGCTGGGGCAGAATGAGAATCCCCTGTCCAAAAGCACCAGCCCCCCATAGAAAGAATCCAAGAAAGTCCCCACGATAGGGCAGCCTGCTCGGCCATATCGAGGACGTGTACCTCCCGAGGAACTAGGAAACTCCTGATGCCTACATACATCTATAAGGCCGTTTTGCACCTACCGGGACAGTACTCAAAATACCCTCTTGTGTGTTAATTTTAATTGAATTTTACTCTGCATGCAAAACGACAAAGCACTCGCAAGGAACGGCCGAACATCAGTGTCTCGGCGGGGGATTGGGCTTCCGTTTATGAGGTAGCTCTTTGGCACATGGACCGCGAAACAGAAGGAGCCAAGAAGTTCCTTTCCTTGGTTGAGAATCAATCTGATGTCCTGCAAATAAAATTCATAAATGCATTGCTCATTCTCGGCCGTTGCAGTGATTCTATAAAACTTCATGCCAATCACGCCGAAAGGAAGGAGTCTGGGGGGCAGCGGTCCCTGCCGCATGATTTTCCCATGTATCCGCGAAACCTTCATTGGAACAGAGCCCTTAGAAAGGACTCTGGAGCCCTGCCCGAAAACCCAGGAGAATTCCAGCTTTGCCCAGCGTTTTCTAGTTCTTTCTAGCAATTTGTGTGTGTTTTGAAGCTTTTTCTAGCTGTTCCTGGCTTTTCTAATCTTCCGCAGCTTGCCATAGCTAATCGACTTCTGGAAAAACCCTGCTTAATTGCAGTTGCTTCACCTCGAGTCCAAAGCAAATTGACATTACATGAGCCACTTCGTAAGCTCATTGGCAGGCACCACCTCAGCTTTTTTATACTTTTGTGAGTGGAATGATTGATGCGACATTTCCTTTGTTCAGTCAGACAAGAACTGATAATGTGTTGAGCCAGAGAAAGAACCATTGGTCCCAATATTCACAGGATGTGACCAGGGAAACCTTTGCTTTCCGAAGCTTCCTCAGTTTTCTGAGCCTGCCTCGGTAAGGCAGGATTCTCCTACAAAGGCCAAACGGAGACCCGTTAGGGGGAAACCCACTCCCCCACGACAGCCATCAACCCGCAGGCCGAAGGGCTGTCAAACGACAGGTCGACTCATGATGGGGCCTCCATAATTAGGGTTTAGGGTTTAGGGCTTAGGGTTTTAGACCCAAAAGTCTTGGGGCACATTTTAGTATAGCTGTTTAAGGCCTAGAAGGGCACATCGTTGCAAAGTGTTCCGAGCCCTACAGTGCCCAACGGTGCGGAACGGAAGAAAGGCTCGAAGAGCAAGTTCTGGTCATGAACATCTGGAAGGGCACCCTAAACCCTAAACCCTAAACTCTAAACCGGAACACCTTTTCGGGTTTGTTTAAGTTTCTTTGACACTCACACTCGGACAAGCCTGGCAAGGTCTGTAGCGATACTGCTTGTTTAAGTTTAGGGCTCAGGGTTTTGTAGAAACGCGGGAAGTTGGAGTGTATTATATACCGTATACCGAACAAGCTGCTTCACTTCTTACACCTGCTCCGCTTAAGCCCAAAACCCTAAACCCTAAGCCCTTAACCCTAAACCCTTCTTATTTTCGCCATGACTTGCATTGCTACCAGGCCTTGAAGTCATCGTAGGTGCAGAACCGCTCCTCCAGGGATTTAGGGTTAGGGTTTCAGGTTTCGACTCACACACTCGCACAAAGCTGGCATGGCGAGAGAAGGTCCCGAGTTTCAGGTTTAGGGTGTAGGGGTTTAGGGTTTAGGGTTTAGGGGCTTAGGGTTCAGGGTTTAGGGTTTAGGGTCTAGGGTCTAGGATTTAGGGTTTAGGTTTAGGGTTTCGGGTTTAAGGTTTCGGGTTTGGGGTTTAGGAAGTTCGACTCTCAGTCTCGCACACAGCAAGGCTCCTCACATGTCCGTCACGCGAGAGAAGCATCAGGGCTCACAGAGATCCAACCCCGATCACGTTTTGACATTGCAGAAGGTAGGGGTTTAGGGTTTAGGGTTTAGAGCTCGAATGGGTTCGTTGGCATTCTGGTCACGGCTTGTGGAGACAAACATCGCCACTGCGGACATCGTCACCCTGAGCAGCAGTCGCACCACAACACAAATTAAGAGCACTCACAAGTAATAACGGTTGATCACCGGAGCAACCGTGTGGAACACCGCATGATGACAGTTTAGCACCAACAGCAGCAGCACGACCATCGTCGTTAGCATCGTCGTGGTAGTCGATGTCGAGATAGCAGCAAGGCGCATCAGCGGCACCATCTGTCAACCATCATCTACGACGACAGCGTCAGCAGCAACAATCATGACAAGACCACCACGACCACCACCAATAACAACAACAACGACAACAGCAGCAGCAACGGCAACAACAACAACAGCAGCAGCAACAACAACAACATGATGGTGCCTTGAAGCAGGCATATTAGGAACAGAAGCACTCTCGCTGCTGCTATACTGCTCGACAGCGGTCAAAACCACTGCTACGGCGACAACCACTTCCGCTTATAGTATAGTAGTAGTAGTAGTAGTAGTAGTAGTAGTAGTAGTAGTTGTAGTAGCAGCAGCAGTAGTAGTAGTAGTAGTAGTAGTAATAATAATAATAATAGTAACATAGTAATAATAGTATTAATAGTAGTAGTAGCAGTAGTAGTAGTAGTAGTAGTAGTAGTAGTGGTAATAGTAGTAGTGCCAGCATCAGTAGCAACAGCAGCAGCATAGGAGTGGCGCTGATAAAGGCAGCAAAACTGGCACTGCTGCTCCGTGACGAAGTAATTGCCGTCCATCACATCGCATCCTGGCCGTGGCATGGCAACCCATTATTTCGATTCTCGCGCGGAGGAGATTAAACTTCTGTGGCTGGGCTACAACAGCAAGAGTACCAACAGCAACAGACACCAACTACGGCTTACTACTATTATGACTACTACTACTACTACTTCTTCTACTACTACTATTACTATTACTATTACTATTACTACTACTACTACTACTACTACTACTACTACTACTACGCCTGCGCGCATCCTGGCGCCTGGTAGTTTCAAGGGGTTAGAGGGTTTAAAATACGGGGTTTGGCAGAGTTTCTGGAAAATGCAGTTAAGTTAACTTCCAAAAAACTACTTTGGTTTACCAATAATTACACTTTTGGATGATGATGATAGTGATGATGATGATGATGAAGATGCTGAGAATGACAACGATGTGCATGTTATTGACGGTGGTGAAGTCGTGATGATGACGATGATGACGATGAACATGCTTAGGATGATAACGATGTGCATGTTATTTAGGGTGATGAAAAAGATGATGATGAAGGCGCTGCAACCGTAGAGCCACTGTTGGCTGGAAATGCTTGGCATCAGGTCTCGGCGATTTGAGGGCCTGAACCCGCTAGTGCTACTGCTAGTAGGACTGGTATCAGTGCTACTGCTACTGCTGGTAGGACTGGTACTCGTGCTGCTACG